ACCCAGGTCTCGTTGTTAATGCTTGTTAATGTGCACTCAGCTCTCAGTACCTCCATGTTAAAATTCTTTGAGCCTCATCCAAAGCTCAGTATTAAAATTCTCACCCCTGTATTCATATTTCTCCATGGCCTCATTCTATCTCGGTAATAATCTCTAGCCCTACAACTTTCCAAGTGATCTTTCCTGTTCTAATTCTGGCTTCTTGAACCTCCCTGATTTGATCACTCTGCGACGACCAGTCAGACTTCTTGCTGCTGAACTTCGCTCCCTGGATCTCTCCCCCTCTCTTTTGTCCTTTATGAAAGTTCCTTAACACGTACTTATAAAAACAGAAAATGCTGGAAGTACTCGGAAGATCATATAGTATCTGTGACAAGAAGCAGCGATAAAGTTTCTGTTCAATCAGGTTAAGTTCAATCTGAAACTTTAGACCTATTCCACCTTGTATGTATTGCAGCTTGGGGTAATTTAGCACATAGAATCCCTACGGTGTGGAAGCAAGCCATTCGGCCCATTGAGTCACACCAACCCGCCTACAAGCGGCTCACCCAGACCCAGCCCATCCCAGTAATCCTGCATCTCCCATGGCTAATCCACCTAGCCTGCAGATTCCTGGGCACTTTGGGTAATTTAGCATGGCCAATCCAGCTAACTTGCACATCTTTGGAATGCATGAGGAAACCAGGGCACCCAGAGGAAACCCACACAGAATACAAACTCCACACAGTCACCCGAGCTGGTATCAAACACAGGTCTCCGAGCTTGAGGCAGCAGTGCTAACCATTGAGCCACCGTGCTGCCCACAAATATACGTAAATTGTTGCTGTTACCGATTAGCAGTAACTGATTTATCCCAAATCATATCCAATTGAATAATGTTGTTGCTGATGCCTAGACATGTCTTATGTGCCTTGTAAGTTCTCTATTATAGCAGTGTTGGTCACTTTTATAAGTGATCTGAGGACTTATGCTAACGAGTGTATTAATTCTGCCCAGAATCTAACCTCACAACAGTGCATCCTGGGGTGTATCTATAGTGCCCTCTTGTGATTTGGATTGTAAAATGAATCCCATGCATTAGCCTCTCCAGTCTTCACTAAGGAAGTCTGAGAAATGTTTGCTAAAATGAGGCCAGATATGAATCATTAATTTGCCATAGTTCACTGGCAGAAAATGAATAGAGAAAGTGAGATTCAATGGGGATTGAACTTGGTTTAATTGGATTTTTCTCCTCGAAACCATAGAAAAACTAATAAAGTATACGCCCTGTCCCTATTCATGAGCAGACTAATGTGTTTTTGATGTCATTTGCCTCTTAGGCAACTTCAAACCGCAAACATTGACCTCCTGCCTGTTTATTTCCAATTTATTTCCATCTCATTGTCGCTTATTTAAAACTTTGCTGCGTCAATTGCAGATTTGTTTTGTTTTCCTGTTAATTTTGCTCCCAGGAAGCAGAAGGCTGGTGTCTTTGTGAACATCTCCAGTAATAACTCAGGAAACCCGACTGGAAAGAAACATCTTTTATTGTTGAACACCGAAACAGAGCCACTACTCGTGGTTCATAGAACTTCATAGAATCCCTACAGTGTGAAAACAGGCCACTTGGCCCAACAAGTCCACACCGAACCTCAGAGCATCCCACCCAGACCCATCCCCCCATAAACCACCTAGCCTACATATCCCTGAACACTATGGGCAATTTAGCATGGCCAACCCACCTAGCCTGCACATCTTTGGACTGTGGGAGGAAACCAGAGCACCCAGAGGAAACCCACACAGACACGGGGAGAATGTGCAAACTCCACACAGACAGTTGCCCGA